TCTGAGCAGGCAGGGTGACCTGCACTCCCCGCAGGAGGGTCCAGGTCCCGAGGGGGGCCGTGGAGCGCGCCTGGTTTGGGTTTGCGGTGGCGACTACCTCCTGGTGTCTGGCTTCGATAGGTAAAGAGGGGGACACACGCTGGGGCAGGGGTCCCCAAGGGACGTCGTGTGTGTGTGTCCCCCCATTGTCACCTCCCCGCAGCCGCAGCGAGAGGAGGATCCTCCTGTACCGGGCGCAGGCTCTGCCCGAGGGACCCTTGTCTGTCCTCGGCCTCGACGTGGCCCCTTCCACCCTCCTGCCCTTCTACGATGAGGACACCAGTGTTGTCTTCCTCACTGGCAAGGTGAGGGCTTGCACCTCCAAAACACTGGGGGGCTACCCACCTACAGCACCCCAACAGTGCAGAGGGACCCTCCATGCATCCCCCTGCCAGCCCCCACCTCGCTCCATCCCCAGGGTGACACCAGAGTCTTCCTCTACGAGGTGACGCCCGAGCCCCCCTATTTCCTCGAGTGCAACAGCTTCACCTCCAGTGAACCCCACAAGGTAAAAGGGGGGCCCGCCGGGGCTGTGCTGCCTGTCCCTGACCCCCTGCCTGCGCTGCCAGACCCACAGCAGGCCCTGCTCACGCCTCCGCCCCATCAGGGCTTCGTCTTCCTGCCCAAAACGGTGTGCGAGGTGCGGGAGGTGGAGTTTGCCCGGGCGCTGCGCCTCGGGCAGAGCACCCTCGAGCCGGTGGCTTTCCACGTGCCACGCGTCAAGGTAGGTGGCGGGGACCCAGCTGTGTTTGGGCTGGTGTAGGAGGTGGGGGATCCCCCCCTCAGCGCCCCTTGCTCCCGTAGAAGGAGTATTTCCAGGACGATATCTACCCGCCGACCCGCGTCTGGTGGGAGCCGGCCCTCGGTGGCAGCGCTTGGCTGGCGCGGCAAGACGGGGCAGCGCCGCGCCAGCCTGCGGCCGGCTAACATGACACCAGGTGCGTGCGGAGGGACAGGGCGAGGGCTCCGGGCCCACAGGGACGGGCGTGGGGGGCGGGGTGTGGGCGTCAGCCGTGGGGCGAAGCCCTCCTGCCCCATGGCGACGCCACTCTCCCAGTGAGCGAGGCCCCGAAAGAGGCTCCGGCGCGGAAGTTCGTCCCTGCGTCCGTGTACCTGGAGGAGAAGTCTGACGAGCAGAAGAAGGAGGAGGTGGGTGCTGGGGCACCCCGGGCACTACCTTGCCGCTGGGCCCGGGCTGGGGGCGATGCCCCGGGCCCCACGGCTCTGCCCTGCCTCCCTGCAGCTCCTGAGCGCCATGGTGGCCCGGCTGGGCAACCGGGACGACCCACTGCCCCAGGACTCCTTCGAGGGGGTGGACGAGGACGAGTGGGTAGGTGCGGGGGGGGCGGGGGACGGACGACC